AAATAGACTGGGATAAATTATTCACAACTGAAGAGTACCTATAACTATATAGTTTGGTAAAAATATTATTTTGTAGTAATAATATTTGTGATATCTTTTCAGATTTACTTCAATGCAAGTATGTTTTCCAAAAATGACATCACTCTAAATATACTATTTTATAATGGACTTTTTACTTTAATAAAATATTATAATATATAAAATTTCATATCCGTAAATAAAGATTTCATAAGAAAAACCAGCATATATTGCCCATTTACTCTGCAGGCATCATGCTGAGTGCTGTGTCTGCTTTTGCATTATATAAATTACTCATTTTTCTGCCCAGATCTATTTTTCAGACTTTGACATTGGGAGGTGGAGCCCAAGTAAAGAAAGATGGTCTTGCCAAGCTGAGAATGTAGAGATCAGAGTTGGAGGCAGCTGAAGTGATTGGAATTTGTGGAGTAGAGTACCAAAGAAATGGAAGTTATGTGATGGAGACAGAAGTCTCCATGGCAGTTCCCCCCATAGATCTTTGGGACAAAGTTAGGCTGCACACATATAGAATAAATTGCATGAGGCCTAGGTCGGAGGGACTACTCCAGGACTGGGAGAGGAACAGAGAGAGGAAGAGAAAAGTGGTGGAGAAATAGAGAGGCCTCCCCCCTCCCACCCCTCTAATAAGTGAGAGCTTAGAGCATGCTTAAGTGCTCAGAGGAGGGATTTGGATCAGTGAGAAAGGCTGAGGATGTGGGGAAAGAAAATTATTGGTAGCATGAGATTCCTGAGGCTGGAGGGGGGACTGGTTTCTTTGCTATTGGAAAGACAGAGTTCAGAAATCCAGGTTAGTTTGTTACCTTTGGTGGCTAAAATATAAATGTACTAGTGGCATGGTGCACAAATTCGTGCACATTGAAAGGAAATTAATTAGAAGAAATATTTTAATATCACTATTCGCCCTTTCTCTATATTAGAAGTGTCAACCAAATTCACGATCGACAATGACAGATGGAAACACACGTGTGCGATTGGTGCCAACAAGAGCTTTATATAGATAAACTTGCTTAATTAGACCACTTTCTGATTTAGCTAAACTTTTCCAGCCAAGTGAAGCACCCCAACTTCTCTTTCAGGTAATTGTCAACAACACAGCAGTAAATATAAACATGAAGCAGATTATTATTGTAGATCACACAGGGAGAATATTTAATTGTAAAGGGTAAAATATTTAACTGCAGCAGTGTTTGACTATACTCTGCCCAGTGAGAAAACCTGAAGTCTTTTTCAAGGTCCACCATTTCTTACTTCTTTTCAGTCGGGTCAAGTTTCTAAACTTTGTAAATCCCCATTTTCCAGCTAATGAAAAGAAAATAGGATTCCACTGAGTCTCCTACCTACCTACTCCAGGACTTCTATGAGGATCAAATAAGATGAGGCACGGGAAAAACGCTTCACAGACATTTGGTTAAAATGTAAAATGTTTTCACCTGGCTATAAAGCAAGTAATGTTCCTGGGCTTAAGAAACTCCAAGGAGGCTAGTCGCTAGGGAGAGGAAGCCAGGCGTTGCTACATGACATCATTACCCCACGCCCACAGAGACTGTTTCCGGGCTGGGCTGGACTGTGGGCTGCATTTTGCGCCATGGGGTCTTGGCAATGTTGGCTGCGATTTGGTGGGCTGTTGCTCTGGGATGGTGGCGGGGCCTGTGTCCCACTTGGGGGAAGCTGAGTGTTGCTTTGTGGGCATCAGGTCCATGGTGCCATGTCTCTGTAAATGGCCAGTGCATGTCACCACAGCTCCTGTGTTGAGCATCTGCCCCCTGGTGGTCAGTGCACATCATAGTGACCAGTCAGATGGTCAGACACTTAGCATATTAGCCTTTTATATATATAGATATGTATCTGTCTATCTCTTTGGTGAAGTAGGAGGGATTTTCATCCTCCAACAAGGGAGGGCCATTAAAAGTTTGAGGGGAGAAAGTTTGTAGAAACTTACAGTGGTCAGAAAGAGTGAGCTGACAAGCACAGAGGTTCAGACAACTGAGCAGGGGAGAGGGCCCTGGTGAGGCTATGCATTCTAGGTGCAGAGGATACTATTGATCTGTCTGTACTTTTCTCCAGCTGTTCTCAGCTGCTCTGGAGCAGAAATAGAGAAGATGGGTGATGGGGAACATTAAGGCCTAGGATTATGCCTATAAGTGATTGCTATGAATCTCTTCATGTAGTTTTTAAACACACATCATGTATAGCTGCTCTCCAAATTAAACAAATCATTTCTTTTAAATGTTATGCTACCCATTCCCCCCTCTCTTTGATAATTGTTTTTAATGTCTCTGGCTCTTTTCCATATTTCCCGTTGTCTTTTAAATGAGATAAGCCACACAATGCAGTGATTAAGACAGACTTCTGGCACCAGTCTGCTAGGTACCAATCTTAGGCCTAGCATTACATCCTGTGTAAACTTCGGCAAATCACATAGTACCTCAGTGCCTCAGTCTTCTCATCTGTAAAATAGGTGGAATAATCAAAATAGTACCACCCCCCCTGCAGAGGGTTGCCTTGAGGATTAAATGAGCTAATGTATGTACTATGCTGAATATGACTTGTTGCTTTATTTTCATTCAAATGAAATATTTGAATGGGGAGCAGAATGAGATATGAAGGATTACATTCTGGCTTTTTTTGTATTATGCCATATTTAATACATCCCAATATTTCACACTTTCCTTTCCCCTTTTCCCACAAAGACCCTAAAATTGTGTACTCAGCCTGAGGAAAGGCCCAAGTCTTAAATTTATTGGAGTCATTCTTCCTCTATCTTTTATTCAAGGCATTAATTTTTGTCTCCAAATATTTACAACTGGACCAGGTTGGTAGTTGGCCTTTATCCACATGTCTTTTGCTTCCAAATCCATCTCCTTTAATAACCACATCTAAAAATGCTGCACCTCTTCTTCCCCACAGGTGAAATAAAGAGTCCTGATTATGGACCATTTTTATAAAGTACAAGGTCCTTAATTAAGCGGTTAAGCGTTCTTAAGGCAGGTACAATGATTTCCATCTTTTAGTAGCCTTTGTACTCAGAAGTTGCCCAATGTAAAGTAGGAAATAAAAACAGTAGATTGATGATGATGATAGTACCACAATTTCTCATCCTTCATTTTCCTTACCATTGACCTTTGTGAGGACCACAGAGGGTAGAGACGGAAACATAGGGCTCTGAGCCCAGAAAGACCGTGCTTCCAATCCTAGTTCTATCACTGACTAGTTGTATAGCCTCGCATTAAACACACAAACAGATAGTACTCTAGGCCAGTGGTAGGCAAACCACTCGCGAGCCACATGCGGCTCTTTGGCCCTTGAGTGTGGCTCTTCCACAAAATACCACATGCGGGCGCGCACATACAGTGAGATTGAAACTTCGTGGCCCATGCACAGAAGTCGGTTTTCGGCCTGGGCGAGTCTATTTTGAAGAAGTGGCCTTAGAAGAAGTGGGGGGGTGTCGGTTGGTCGGGCGACGGGAGACGCAGTGCAGGCGGGATACGCCGTGCCGGGGAGGCGCACGTGATTCATGCACAAGTTGAGTGAGCCAGTCAGTCAGCAGTCTCATTGTGCAGTGGTTAGTGCTAGTCGAGTCTGCAAATCGTGCGCGGGTGACAAAAGTAAAGTTTATTAAATTAATTTTAGGGAACATTTTTAAAAAATTTGGCTTTTAAAAGAAATTCCAATCGTTGTACTGTTGATATTTGGCTCTGTTGACTAATGAGTTTGCCAACCACTGCTCTGGGTTGTTCAGTAACTTATTAACAAGTTTCTCTTTTTTAAAAAATATTTTTTTATTTATTTTAGAGAGGAAGGGAGAGGGAGAGAGATAGAAACATCAATGATGAGAGGGAATCATTGATTAGCTTCCTCCTGCACTCCCCCTACTGGGGATTGAGGAACCCAGGACCTTTCAGTCCACAGTCCCATGCCTCTATGCACTGAGCCAAACTGGCTAGGGATCTTTTTCCCTCTTATTCTTGCTAACCATAACTCTTAGAGCCATTAACACCTGGTCTCTTCCCCAAGCCATTTCTTTATTAAAACTTCCTACCACTCCCTACCAAGAGTTAGGGTGGGAATTTCTTTTCTGTCTTAAAGTCCTGCATGCCACCAGCTTCTCACTTCCAATCTCTCAGATGTTCCCTTCATTCACCAGAAAGGTTTATTCCATTTCATGTTTGTTTATTATACGTGTTTACGAAATACCTTCCTTCGATTCTTTATCCTAGTCCTAGGCAATACCCTATTTTGCAACATGCTCACCTCCTTCCCCCAAGGTTTCTCTTTTTCTGACCGTTACTCACAGTTGCCAAATTCCTAGTCTGTGACACTTTTCATAACTAGAAGATTTCATCATTTCTAATGACTTCCATTTTCTCACAGTGCCAAAAAATACACAACTTTTTTTGCCTTTAACAGGCAAGTACTGCTAGTACAGATATCTGTTAAATGTTTGTTTGGCGTCATTAAGTCTGTATATGTTTTGTAACAAGTACTAAAGAGAAAAGATTAGCTCATCTACTTTGTACTATGCTGAGTATAGCAAGATATATACAGATAATTTATAAACTTCTAATTATGATGATGCTGGAGAAGAAGAAAAATTAAAACATCATTAGCTCTGACATGAATATATATATTTCCATTTTTGATTACAAAATAATGACATACACCCATCACACAAAAACTTAAACACAATAAATATCTTTAAACATTTTATAAGAAAAAAAGTGATTATTTCACATTAAAACCTTTATATGATAGCTGATGTTTCATATGTAGTTTAAAGTACTTATTCAATTAAGGCTATGAAATATTAAAGACAAAAGAGGCAAGATAGAGGAAAGAAAGAAGAAAACATAAAAATATCTCATAAAATTCTGAGTCAATGAATGGCATTTAATGAAATTTTATATATACAAATCCTGAATTGTGCTTTTGAATTTTTTAAAAGCATCTTTGTTTTACACATTTCTAAAGATAGCTTTAGCTTGATTGGAGTAGCTCTCTGACATGTCTAAGTTATTTAGACCCTATTACATTATATAATTATTCCACACCTGGTCTCCCTTTCTAATAAGACTACATTATTTTAGGAAACTTGTATCTATAAAACAATGATCCATTTAAAAAAACACACACAAATGTACCAAAAACTCCCAAATGTGAGAGTATGATCTTCTTAGAAAATTCTATGTTTATTTTAGAAATGGGGCCACTTCTCAAAATTTTTAGAATTCCTTTTAGAAAACATCATCAGTTAAAAACCACGCAGGAAAGTGAAATCATGTTACTTTATAGAGCTTTTATTTTAATATATATGACATTACTCACCTAATTCAATCAACTTGACTTCAAATTACATTTTTTTGGCTGCATCCAAAAATCAATTTACCCCCCAAAGACAAAGATTTTCTACTACAAACGTTATTTTTTAAAAGTGTGAAAGCATTCTGAGAGCAGCATCACCCAATGTATTAGAAACAAAAGAAGCAGGTTAGAGGAAGGGTAAATAAAGCCTCAGCGGTAGTCAGGGCAGATGATTTTGGGGGTAGGATTTGAAACATAACTTTCTAATTATAATTTTAGAATACTTTTTAAAACAGCCACATTTCTTTATTTTTATACTTCAGGTGGCTGAATTTTATGGTAATAAACCACCTTTTCAAAAGCCTACAGTTTTTACATAGGATATGAATTTAAAATTTCCCACAAAGATTTTAGAGGGATGGGGTGTGAAGTAGACAGAAGAGTGTAAGGATAAGAATTTTCCGCTCCCAACCTAAGTACCCAAAGCAGGTGTCAGAGTAGCAAGTTCTAGAAATCTGAATTGAATGCTGGTGATTTAGAGGGTTCGGTAAGCAATTCTGAGGGTCTCTGTTCTTTCTTGAAACTCTATGTGTTTGAACAAATACTGATTGCATTCAATGATTCTGTTTCACAGTGTGATTCCTGTAATATGAGCTTTTCAGTAATTGTGAATTTTATTTAGTCATTTTTGGCACTTACAGTTCACAATGCTTGGTTGTGTGGTTTCAGATTATTTTAATTTTTGCACTTTACATTCCTTTTGGCACGTTTGAAGGTGACATTGTCTTGTGTGTTGTTTGGGGAACGATAGGCCTCCCAATCTGTATCTTTTTTAAATGTTTAGCTTTATGAAAAACACACTTCTCCCCAGGATCCTGCATTAAACGAAGCAGGTAAAAAGCTACCTTCACAAGCTGTGCACCCCAACTCTGCTTAGAGGCTGGTATCCCTGGCTCCAGATGGAGGCTGTTTGGCCAATGCTGTCACAGGTTCCGGTGGCCCTTCCCGGCAGAAAAGTACAACTGGAGTTTTACGAGCCCACAGGGCCATCTCCCCAGCTACCCCGCTGGTCGGATTGGAAGAGTTCATCCTGCTGCAGGCCCCCAGCCGGTTGGCAGACCGGTTTCTGGCCCGCGGGCCCGGGCCCTGGACGGGCAGGGAAGCGTCCACATTCCTAGTCCGGTAACCCTCTTCCCGGCTGCGCCCTAGCAGCATGGATATGTTGGGGTTGCGAATGGCGTAGATGACAGGGTTGATGGCCCCATTGGCCCAAGTCAGCCAGACAGCCACCACGTTGAAGAGCGAGGGGACCTGCGTGGCCTGGGCCTGGCGGGCAGCAGCCAGCAGCACCAGGAAGCAGTAGGGTCCCCAGCAGCAGATGACGAAGACGATCATGACTAGAACGGTGGTGGCGGTGCGCACCTCGCTGAAGAAGCGCAGCACCCGCGCGTAGGTGGTCACGGGCCGCACGCGCACGCCCGACAGGCGCACGGCCTTGCAGATGTGATAGTGGCAGAAGCACATGAGCAGGAAAGGCAGCAGGTAGCAGGCGACCACGAGCCCCACGCTGTAGGCCGCGCCCAGCTGCGCGGGGTCCGGGGACGTGCGGTAGAGGCAGCC